GGCTCAGAGAGTGCATTGCCATATCTGACTTGGCCGTGCTGATCCTCATGGAGTGAGATGATCAGTTTGAGGAACTTGGGGGGACAACCTAAACGTTCCAAAATCTGCCACAGACCTTTTCTGCTCACAGTATGGAAAGCCTTGGTGAGGTCGACAAAGGTCACATAGAGACCTTTGTTCTGTTCCCTACTTCTCTTGCATTATATGTATGCAGATACAGATATATATATAGACATATACATTAATATCCACACACATACATAAATGTGTGTGTAATATGTAATGTGTATGTATAGGACACACACATATATACACAAATATATATTATATATATATATATAAGGCAGGGAAGGAGAATATTATTCCCATGGGATGCACTGAGGCTCTTTCTGAAATCAGTGGGTTATTAAATCCTATGGAAGCAGCAGCCAGAGGGTGGAAATGATTCCATCAAACCCAATCCGTGGCTGCCAGATGGGATGGGAACAACCTTGACTTCCAAGGAAACCCTTTACAAACCATCCCTGAGCCATAGATATTTTCCTTGGAGTCCCCTGGGCTGTTTCTCTCCCTGCTCAGTGGGTGCCACCCAATTAAAGGGGATATTTCCCCCTTCAAGGCACTGGAATAATTTAGGGATTTAAATCCATCCTTGCTCTTCAAATCCCTTCTATTTCCATTTATTTTATTAATTTTCCACTTTTTTCATGCCCCTTTCCCAGGTTCCAGCACAGAAGAGGCTCCACTTTTTCCCCATCCCTTTGTTTTTGGGGGTACAATTTTCAAGGCTCTCTTTGCACCAATTAAACCTTAATTAGAGAAGAAATTCGTCCTGGGGCTGGTTTTTATCCCTCCCTCTCCCTCATCCTCAGGGCAGGGAGCCTGGAGCCAGCAGACAATTGAGATTTTATACGTTTATATAATTTATACTTATATTTGATATCTATTTCTGGAGATGTAATTATCCATAATTATGTATTTTCATGGAAAACCCACCATTTGGGATCTATTCCTCCAGAATTCCCCAAATTTAATGCAAATCCTCCAGGAACCAGCCCTAAAACCCTCCTTGAATCAGGATCTGTGGCCATCCCAGTGCTAAGGACATCCTCACACGTGTGTTCCCCGTGGAAAAAATGGGAATTTGGGTGGTTTGCATGGGAATCCCTCCCAAAAAAGTGGGATTGAGGAGTGGTTCCATGTGTAAAGCAGTACTAGAAGGGTTTATG